CTGAAGAAGAATATCATGTTTGGTAAGAGGAAGACCCCCAACGAGATGGACTGGCCAAGCAGCAGCATCGATGGGCTTAAGCATGGCAACAGTAGTGAGGTTGGCCCAGGATCAGGCAGTGTTTTGTTTTGCTGTGCATAAGGTTGCTATGGGTCAGTACCGACTCGGTGGCACCTAATAACAACAACAACAAAGAACAAAGATGTCACTTTGAGGACTAAGATGCTTCGGGTCCAAGACATGGTATTTTTAATTGCCTCACATGAATGTGAAAGTTGGACAATGAATAGCAAAAAAGAGGAAGACAGTGGCAGCAACAATGGGCTTAAACATGACAGCTGTGAGGTGATAGAGAACTGGGCAGTGTTTCATTCCATTGTGCATAGGATCACTATGAGTCAACACCTAACAACAACAAGGGATCTAGGGGGTTATAGCTGAGCAAGAACAATCAACCAGAGACCTAAAGGATAAAGAAGAATTAACTGGGGTCTTAGGGTGAAGAGAAAAAAGAAAAGGTATTTCCAACAGTGAAAACAGCATAGGCAGAAGTCCATGGTGGTAAACAGCATAGTGAGAAGGAAAGCAGTGTGGCTGGATCACTGGCATGAGATGCAACTGACAAGAGTTTGTAGTCCATGTTAACAATTTGGACCTTAATCCTAGACTCAATGGAGAACCCTTGAAGGTTGCTTCAGGAAGGTGAAGGAGAAGGACATTGCATTTCAGAGAACTCTGTCTGCTTGCTATAGTAAGAAAAGATTGGAAAGGGCCAAGAGTACAGAAAATAGTTAGAAGTCTATTGCAGGATTCATGGTTTAAAAGATGGTGGATGGAGAGTGTTGGCTTTGCCTAGTGCTAACAATTGTTGTTGTTATCATTGTTGTTAAGTGCCATCAAGTTGGTTATGACTTAGTGACTCTGCATAAGGTATCTGAGAAGCAACTGGTGGGTTTGAAGCATTGACCTTGTGGTTGGCAAGCCAGTGTTTATCCTATAGCACCAGACCAGGATGCTGCTTGTCATTCATTTCCATCAAGTCAACCCATGCCAACTTACGGCAACATGCCTAACTGTGCAGACTAGAACTGTCCATAGGGTTTCCAAGGC